ATGTGGGTGAAGAGAGACCCAGTGGACCTCATGTGATCTGCACATATGGAGGAAGCAGTGCTGTAGAGTTAGATTTAAGCCATTTGAAGGAAGGAAGAGGTTTGTTTTATGGGGAAAAAAGTCTAAATATGAACCTGTGATGCACAATGATGAGCTTTTAGGGGTTTAATCAATGACCACAGAGGGATTTTGAGTGAATATCTTCAAGGGTTAGTGTTTTTTTTAACCTTTATTTAACCAGGTAGGTCAACTGAGAACCATTTACAATGACGGCCTGTATGTGAATGTGTTTCTCATTCACGCATTCATACTCATAATCATACAAACATTCATACACTAATGACAGCTTCCATGCAAGGTGGACACAGTCATTTACTTAAAAATGCAGAATATTTATTTATTTTATTTTTCCTTTATTTAACCAGGTGTGTTAATTGAGAACAAATTCTCATTTACAATATCGAGCTGGCCAAGAGGCAGCACGGAACAGAAAATACAAATAAAGGAATACATACATTAAAAAAATCAATACACAAACAAAACATAACAACAAAAGGCTTAAAGATAAAATACACTACAAGCAGGTACAGGAATCGGTAAGCAATGCCTTCACCACGTTTTTAAAAGATGATAAAGGTATGAAAAGAGGTGAGTTTAAGTGTTTTCTGTCAGTGGTTCCAGTCGGGAGCTGCAGAAAAGCGAAATGAATAGCGTCCAAAAACAGTGTGTGGATGAGGAGGTGGATGAGGTTGCTGATGTGACGGGTGATGAGCAGTGACTGTAGATATGACCTGTAGTAGTTTTACAAATGAACAGATACCAATAAGTTTGCCTGCGGGAGTGAAGAGAGGACCAGTTAACCAGGCTGTACAGAGTGCAGTGGTGAAACTAAACTGTAATTTCTTGAATGAATTTATTAACATCTAAAGTTAAATAGAAACATACTATTTGTCACATGTAAGTACTGGCTTCCATGGAAGGTGCCTTGAAATTGGGTGCACTGTCTTGCCCAAAGACAATTCATCTGTGGAGGGGCGAGAGATCGAACTACCAAGTTTGGGATTTGAGGACAACCGCTCTCCCACCTGAGCCAACTTTTTTGAAATTTCTTTTTTTGTGTTGCTATCCCTAAAATGCAGCGACTATATCAGGAGTTCTGTCAGTTAAACACACACAGAATTTTGCATTAAAAGAAAAAAGATTGAATTTGATTGAAATTGATTGAATTTCCCTTCTGGGATGAATAAAGTATTTTTCATTTCATTTCATTTTTCAAAAGACCGCAAGTCTGGCAAAATACACCCTTGATTCGAACAAGACAGTAAACGTGGATTCACCACACCTCTTGCGGCACAGTTAAGCAAAAAATTTCTTAATAGCTGTTATGGACTAGAGGAATGATTTCAGCAACTCTTTCACACATGAGTCACGGATCAACTCCAGTCAGCCGCTGGTGAATTTCAGAGGAAACCGTTTAAACATTTAGAAAAAAAATTGAACACTTGAATCAAACCGCTGTCATGAAGACGAAGTTAACCGAGCGACTGCACGAGCTTTAAATGCTCCTGCATGAACAAACAACAACTTAACACCGACCCCGAGCCACCTGTTTTTGTTAAGAAGACACACACAGATGCTGTTGTTTCAGGAGGGAAACCTGGGACAGATAATCATCTCTGGGTCCCGCCATCACTACACCCAGCCCCCGATACCCTCACCACCACCACCACCACCACCATCTGCTCCGGGGGTAGGGCTGTCTGTTTCCATGGCAACGCTGTACCCCTCCTCCCTATAAGCGCCAGGCTTCTTTTGTGTGTCCCACGTGCAGCCTGTTCCAACCGTAACCCGACCATCCTACTGAGGGGTGCTGCTGTTGACTGCATGGCAACAAAAAAAAACAGGGGGGGTTTCATGATAGGTTTTTTTTTTTAGGATGTTTGTTGTAGGTTTTGTTATGGATGTGATGCTTTTGGGAATTAATCTGCACAACTGTGAGATGAAAACAAAGACTTATAGGAACCCCACTTTTGAGGATATCAGTCCCCCTCCCCCTCCTATGCAAAAGAAGGTGACCTTGCAAATTAAGCCCACCCACCCACCCCCGATGCCGAGTCACCCTGTCCCCCCAGTGAATCGCTCCCAAAGTGAGGTGATAGGCAGGAATAGGAAGCAGTAAACACACAAGAAAGGAGCAGTAAACTAGGAGATAAAAACACCGAGAGCTGCACAAAGGGAGGGTTTTTTTTATGTAGCGTGCACAGAAATACAACCACTTTAAAAGGTTCAAAATGCAGAATCCACAACATATCGCTCTGTTTCGTCAATGAAATCGAACAATGTGAAGAATTGCAGGCTAAAATTGTTGCAGTGGCAATACAGGAATTCAGTTTTATTCTATTCTAAGTAAGGCATGCTCTTTAGTATACACTAACGACTGATTACTTTTAGTTGCTCTTGTATGCAGTGTGGGCGTCCAGTGTTTTTTTTTAAATTTTTTATTCCTAAAGCAATTTGTGGCCTTAGTGCTGTAATTACATTCACTTTCCTTGGCAGGGCACGAACACCTCTGGCACTTCTTTCTGCTACATATGGGACTGTAGGCGTGATATACAGCTCGGATTTTTAGGCCCGTAAGCATATTTCTCTGCCCGTGCTCTTATTTTACGACGTGATGCGGGCATATGAGATGGTGAAAACTTTTAAAACCCTCTACACGTGATAATACGTCCAGTATCTGATATATTATGGGGTTAAGTTAAATTGAGTCACTCTGATCTGAGGCAGAACCTTATTAGGCACTATTTGGGATACACTGACTTCTAAACAACACACAGATGGAAAGCATTAGTCTTGTTGGCAGGAAACTCCACTTCCCTGCTGTACTGTGAATTAAAATGTTACAGTATAGGCCTGGGTTTACTGCTGAATCTAATTAATCTGTGTCCAGTGAATAATTGGCCCAGAAGTCCACAGGTGCAGGTAGAGCTGCTACTTGTACATTAGCTCCTTTTTTCCTGCTAAAAGCTCACATTTATGCAGCAATAAACCACATACCATATAAATAAGGCTTGAGGAGGGAACACATTAATAATAAAAATGCGTTTCACAATTGACAGCGAGCGCTGCAACAGAAAGGAATTCCACTCTGGCCCACAGCAAAGACACGACTGCTCATTTTTCTAAAGTCATCTTGGACGGCTGCCAGGTTAACCTTGCGCTAATGCCATTTAATAAAAACGAGTCGCGCCCTTGTGCATTTTCCGGGGTGTGTTGGCAGGGAGACTGCCTCAAGAATGCAAGCTGAAAAATTAAAACCAGCAAGAGCATGCAGCAAGAATTTTTTTTCTGCTAACACCAAGACCCTTAAGTGACTGGAGCGTTGCATTTGTGGGCCAATGTGGTTCATCTATTTAAAAAAAAAGAAGTGGTGCTAATACAGAGAGGAAGGGCATACCTTCTGCATGAATACATACGTTCTCTGCTACACAAGGTCTGTATGGAAACACACAGTCCCTCAGAGGAAGATTTTTTTTACATCTCCGTGACCTCTCGAGACTTCAGCTCCTTCAGCCGTCAAAAGAGCTGACCACAGCTGCCAAAAGGGGAACATTGTCACTTTCATAGTAGAACTTGCACAAACATTCAGGCTCAAAACCAGTTCTAGGCCGACCCTTTCAGGAAAAGTGTGTATCTGTGTGTGTGTGCAGGAAAAGCAAACATCACAAGGGGATGATTCACAGTGGGTCAGGTTTTGAAGCAAACAAGAGGGCAACTCTTGAGCAAAGCCTTTTCTCCTCTTTTGCTGAATATGATGTTGCAACATCATATTTGTGGAGCGTTTTTTTTTTTTTTGTGGTGAAAGACCAAAGAGGTGTGGAGAAGTATAGAGTCAAAACAGTGCCATAGAAATGGCGTAAGGCCGTGTCCACACTTAGAGAGGTTGAATCACAAACCGCTATTTATGTTTTTAAACTTTGAAGCCCACAATGGAACACCAGAAGAACGTTAAGCCTCCTCTATTGTGTAATCGCAGGCCAATTGAGCAAGCGGCTTTTCGCCAGATTGCGTGCCATAAATCAGCATCCACATAAAGATCAGTGTTTCCAACAACATTTCAGGGCTGATTATCTGATTCCAAATGCATTTACGCAGAAGGGTGTTTTTGTTGTCGTGCCAGTGGATGCTCAGCGTGGATGGAAGACTGCAAAAAAAAAAAGAAGAGAATAAATGTTTGGAAGGAGCCACGAGGCTGGGTTGCTCAGTCTCCACATGATCTTTCTCTGTCATTTGGGCTGTGGTTTACCAGAGCACCCCACATTACACCCTATGAATAAAAGCATGCTTGTGGTTCACAATAGAGCTTCGGCTGCACCCTGAGAAGGGGGAAGGGCAATGCATTCCTCCACTGACCTCCTGTTTGCAGCAGATATTAAACAATAACTGCTGCTCTTTGTGTGCTGTCACCAGCAAGAGGCAGTTATCAAAAAAAGACAAGACGTGAAGCGACCCTTTTGCATTAGCAACGAGCAATATGTAAAAGAAAGCAGAGTGCTTTGTGTGCGTTTTTTTGTTGCAGAGAGGTGGGGACGGCGAGGATGATGATGATGACTGGCATTTCAGGAGATCCGTGAAGAACAATGTGATCGTTCAATGTGACTTCGGGAGACGGACGGTTGACTGGATGCCTGCGATATTTAATCCGTGATGGACCGCATTTGAGTCACTTCTCTGGGGGGGAAAAGTGCAGCATCAGCCGGCTGGAAATTCAGCTGCTTAAAGGAAATCTCCCTTTTGATTGAGAGCAAGACGCCACATCGGCCCTATGAATAAGAATCCATATAGTGCTGAGCTCAGATAACTGACTTTGTGATTCATGACACAGCAGGTCCTGAGTCTTGTTGGACATTACTCAGTGTTGGTTCAAACAAGTGTGATGGGGTGGGGTGGGTGGGGAAGCAGGAAACCAAAGAAAGTGTGACCCGGAGGAAGGGACCTTATGGTAGCAACAACTTCCGAACATCTGCCTGAGCAGGAAGAGGTTCATGTACTCTCAGGAGGCTCAATGTTCTCCCACCTCCCCCCAAAGAAACAAAGGTTTGCACATCAGATTATCTTCACCTGAAGCTCTGAACAATGCAGATTCATGCAGATAACACCTATGCAGGTTCTAACACGAATCACTATCTGTGGAATTGTATGTTTGTTCTGCTGCTAAATTAAAAAATCCTGCCTGTGTTTTTCCCCTAAAAACAGGATATCCTATTTACTCATTGTCTTCCCCCATGGCACAGATTTCAGAAACTCCGACTCCTCTCTGCCTTCTGGAGTCCAGACTGAAGTTAGAAGCGACTGAAGCAGCGATTGCATCAGGAATGCTGGCAGTTGATCGTTTTCCTCCACTCTGCGCAGACAGGGGGTGGGGTGCCCGGCTGAAACTGGGAGGAGAAAAGGGGGGGATTTGGGAATATTCTTTGTCCTCAGCCAGCAGTACAGCTCACAACTGGAGACGGACGGAGGCTCCTCGCAGGAAAGAACAAAAAAAAAAAGCAAAACCTGGATGGCTTAACATCATCGCAGGGGGGTTTCTTTTAAGGCAGAACACGAAGGAAGAGGTTTCGTTTCGGGAGACAACTTTGATGAGACGGAGGACCTGAAATCTGAAGGTAAAACCCACACGAACAGCGCGGCGGCGGCGCAAAGACGCGGTAACATCACGCTTTTTTTCCACCTTTTTTTTTTTTTTTTTGCCAACAATGGTGCTTTCGTTCAAGTTTTAGCTGTAACTTTTTGCGAAGGGAGTTGTTTTCTGTTAGTTTAACCCCAGCGCCTTATTAAGTCGTGCTTAAAGAACCAGCGCGTTTAAATGCATCGTTTAAGCGCTAACTTCTAAGTTTACGCGCACCGCCTGGCTGGCTGGCAACGCTAAATAAACCAAATCAGTCGCGTTATGTGGAGTTTTAGGGCACGTTTGCACAAAATATGTTGTCACTAGCACCACATGGGATGGTAATTGTACTGGTATGCAGGATATTTTGTTTAATTTCCGGGGATTTTTTGCGGCTATCTCGTGGATTTGGGGATGGAGTGACGCACAACCGTCTTGTCTTGTGTTTACCAAGTTGCCCGCATTTAAAGCAGTTATTGTGAATATTCTGGTGTTTTATGTGGTAAAGTTTCTTTCCACACTTTGTCCAAACAATATGGCGCAACCTTTAGCGTCATTAAGCATCGGTAAAACGTTACGGGAGCATGTGGAGCACCGTGCTGACGTCGTGGCCCGTTAGCCACGAGGATGTTTTTTTTTCCTTCACTCCCCAAATGGGATAAAATTTCATTTCACAGTCTATTTAATTAGATGGGGGTAATTTATAGCCTTTTCCCCATTCTCTCCTCGTTTTTGTTTTGTTTTTAGTTCCTGATGTTGTGCTCCTTGGTGATAGGAAGCGGAGATGAGTTATTTTTTCCTCACCAGGAGTCACTCCTCAGTTTGACTCATCTGGTTATTTTCCGGGGCTTTTCCCTGCTCGGGCCCGGAGCCTCAGTCCCAGCCTGCGGGCTCTGGGATTCAGGAGGGTCAGCTGGAACTGGCCTTCCAGATGTTGGAGCCACAAAAGCCTCTCTGTTCTGCAGAGCTCGGCCCGTGTGCGCATTCTGCTGTTAGGAAGCAGACTGTTTGGTGTCAAGTGCCACAGATAGAGGACTGATACTCACATGGGATGTTGTTGCAGGACTGGTTAAAGAACCTCAGATAGGTAGAAGTGTAAGATGCAGAACCAGACAGTTTCTATAGAGGTAGCTGGATTGACTTCTTTTTATTTGCAAATCAGGCAGAACCTCATTTTTGGTCACTTGCTCTATACTTTGCTTATTCAGGCCATACCATCATGAGAAGCCAGATACAGCTTGATGAGCTTTTTAATGTTACCCTCTATTGATTAAAAGTTGCTGAAGCTCAACAGATCTTTCCAGTTTTGATGATGATGGTGTCTTTGTTCTGCTCAGGACACCCACCCAGCTCAAACATCACATTACGTCCATCCGGCCTTTTGTTTCTGTCTTTTGGCTGCAGGGTCGGGGTCAGTCCTTAATTACTGACCAGTTTGTCCCACTGGTTTCCAAAAAGATACAGCTTTCATCCCTGCAGTCCTCAAGAGTCTGTTCAAGAGTGTCAGCTAAATCCACAGCTCAACCCAAATCAGTCACACTTTGAATAATAAGAACAGTTTAGAAACAGTTGTTTATATATTAAAAAAACAGGTGCGGTTTTATTTGGACACTTTTTGGCAACAATAATACTAATACTTGGAGTTTCTAGAACGTGGCAGCAAAGGCAACATAAGGCGTGATTGTACAAAAAAAAAAACACAGGACGGAAGAAGCTGGAAGCAAAACCAATCGTTTGCCAACCGCTAAAAAAAAACCTTGAAAAAAATAAACAACTTCCAAAACTTTGGCAAGAAACAGCAGAAAAAATAGAGCGAGATCTTCAGGAATTGTTTTCAGTTGAGGAACTGGTAATTACTCTTTCTGTCAGCTAGTTTTGGCCACGTTTCATGCTGGCAAAGAGGCAAAGACGGTAAAAATACAGAAACAGCTTTTCACCATGTCGGAATGGAGAGCGTGTTTTTCATCTCTCATTATGCACATTAACTTTTTTTTTGTTTTGTTTTGGTGAAAAAGCTTAAAAACACCTCAAACAAGTGTAAAAACCTTTTTTTTTTTTGCAAAAGCATAAAATGATTTTATGAAACAGCAGCGGACACACGTGTAACTGCATCATGCATCTTGCATTCAGGTGCACTTTGAGGATCAGGTTTCACCAAATTCAAGGGATTCTTTCCAATCCTAATCTTAATCCTTGCTATTGTAAATCTGTACTTTTTGGAATTGCTGGGATCAGATGAATCCACTTGAATTCCAGTCCAGCTGAGACGTCCACACTGTGTTGCCCTCCAGCCTACAACATTGGAGGAGGCCATTGAAAAAGCTGAGATATAAATCTGATTTCATGTTACGAAACTACAAAAAATGTTGGAAAATGCCGCAGCTCACATAGGATCTGCCGCTGGATACGACAGCCACGATACTGACTGTGAACAACAGGCCCAAACACACTGTGTCATTCTTTAAATCTTACATTTGACTATAGTGAGCGGCTGAACAGAGCAGCTAAGAGTCTCCGAGTTCAGCTCTGAGTTGTGATTGTTATCTGATGTACTTCCTCCTTCTGCCAGCTTGACAGTTACACACAGACTCACGCTTGCACGTGAGTCAGTGGTATTCCTTGAAGCTCTGACAGCAGCTCGGTGCAGTTTCTAACCGTTAACCTAGATTCCAAGCAGCTGAGCGCGCCGTTGGCTTCCGCTCCGTCTCTATTGCTGGCATCCCGATGCCATCAGGAAACCAGCATAGCTAACAGGTTGGGTGTAGTGTGCACATTAAACTAAACTGTTTCTGACAAATATTTCTCCATACACACGATCCAACTACATGCTTCCTGTTATCTTGATGTGCAGTTTAAGACGTCGTACTGTGATTCAACTTTTCTCAGGCGGGATGCAAGTGCCAACAGGCAACGGTTCAGAAAACCGCAGATGAAGGATAATGACAGTGGTAGTCCATGTGAGCAGTAAACAGACGAACAGCATAAAAGTAGTGAGCAAACATAGCCGGTAGTGAAGAGGAGGTTTGTGGAGAGACATGCTGAAATTAGCTTCACTGCATCAGTGGGAGAGACGGCCGAGCAGCAGGGAGGGAGAGCTGGTTGTAGGTTTTCCATGGATTCCAAGCAGAATGTGAACAAAAATACTGTTCTATCATAGAGTAGCCATCAAAGTAACTAATCTGGTCATCCATCAGATCTGCTTACATCACACCTGGGAGTCGCCCGGTACGGGTGACTTGTCATGGATCCTGTTTAAACGACGTCATGTGATCGCTGAGCCGCACTTTGTCTCTTTTCTTGTGTTGGGTTTATAGTAAACTTTTCAGATGGGAAATTTCCATTGCATCCAAATTGTAGATTTAAGATTTCCGATCAGTAGTTGTTTAGGGTCTTTTGGATAATCGCACACACACTAAAGAAATGTCTATACAGCAGCTTTTAGTGCACACAGTTTGGTAGAAGAGTGTCTCTTTGTGAATTCATTCCGATCTGAAAGGAAACACCACCTTAACCTGGGACAGCCGGAATAATACGAGGCTTTCATGTCCAGCACTGGACCTGCCCTGTGTTTGCACAGGAGTTACAGAGCACAGCACTGTGTCACTTTGTGTAGTGAGCTCAAGTCACGATGTGTCGTGTTTGGTATCGTATCCTCGGCGCTGGAGTTCCAGTAAGACGCTGCTGCTACTTGGTTTTGTTGTTATCTAAATGAAAACTTGTTGGAGCATGCAGACTTGCCAAACTGCTGTAATGACATTTGACGTGATTTGATTTGCTTTATCGTTGGCAGTTGACGTTTAAAATGATTTGTGTGTCCCTCCATCGCTGATTCACTCAGTTTTAGGCAAGAATTCACTTTAACACCTCGTGGCTGAGTTGTCACAGAACGGACCTTGTTTGTCAAAAAAAAGATAATTCAGCGGGTAGACGATCTGCAAAATGGTATCATCTGTTCTCAGTTAAAATAAAAACTTCATTGTTGCTCACCTACTCGGTAAAAGCGTGGCAGTGCGGTTTCTAATTGTGTCTTAATTGCACAGCAGAAGTTGCTTACGAGGTTTGTCACGGATGGCGTGAAACCGCAGGACCTCTTGATTGCTGCTTCAGTGCTGTTAGATCCCAGTCAGATTATTAAACCTCAACTTCCAGCAACTAAATGTGAACTTCCCTGTGCGTAAAATGTTCAGCGGAGACTAGATTGAGCTAGACTGTGATGTTTGTATGGGTATTTACGGTAACTGTCACACATTTAGCTGCAATTTCTAATAAACTCGACTACGCTGCCTCCGTAAACCAGCGTATCCTTTGTGTTTTCACTGCGCTGCGCCTCAGGCACTCTGCTCGCTGATTACAACTTCACTCCACAGCATCTACATGTCAGTCTGGTTGTAGTTGCGCAATTTGATGATGGCATTTATTGTGATCACTGCAGCTGCCCTAGCATGTCCTCCGCACAGAGCAAGAGGGTAGAGTGTGGAGGTGTCCACTTGATTATGCAGTAGCGCCACCTTGTGGCTGCCTGGTGCAGTAATTAGAGTATTTTTAAGTGGGATCGTTTAGCAGAAGAAATTAGTAAAATCATTTGGTTTTCAGTGACTCTTATTTTTATTATTATTATTATATCTTTATTCCTTATCTTCTATATCTTGTATATATTTGTCTTGTTATCTTGTTTATTTTTTATTAATATTTATTGTATTTTATTCTTTTTCTTTCTGTAGTTATTTTACTTTATTTTATTTTTTAAATTTTCCTATTTCTATCATTCGTGTAAATTCCTAGGGCGACGCCAACAGCCAAAACCAAATTCCTTGTATGTTGTGTACGTACTTGGCCATTAAAGCTGATTCTGATTCTGATCTTTTCTATATCTATATGTCTATTCTAGATATCCTCATTCTTATATTCTGTTTGCACTATTCTCCTTTTATATATGTATTGTTGTACTTGTGTTTGCACTATTTCTTGTTGTTCTTCTAGTATGTGTGTATCTCTGTGTGTACTGCTGCTGACAGCACTATCTTATCTCATTTTATATCCTTTTACATGCTTTCTGCTGTCAGTACGGGATGATTTAATCTTGTTATACATTAAGTCAAGCAAACAACTAAAATCAGTTTGGAGGTGAACTGAGCATCTATACGATGTTGTAAATAACTTGGTCAATAAAATGTTACAAGCTGCCTGCAGTGTAACAGCGATTTGTCAGCGTTGTTATCTGGAGGCGCACGGAGGGTAACTAGGGTGAAGCACCTGCACCGTGCTGAGGATAAAATTCCTTGTTGCTTGCCAGGAGCTGATAACACCGGAAGGGGACTCTGTACTGGTTCTGCACTCACCTCGACCTTAAGTCCGTCAGCTCTTGCAGTAGGCTGTGTTTCCTAAATGTAGATGTTAGGGAGCAAGACCCAGACAGGCGGGGTGGTTCTTTTTTGGCCACTAAACTACCTCATAGGGGCAACTGTTGGTCCCTGCCATCACAGCCTCTGTCATTGGAGATCTCTCAAACATCCCTGAAAACCTGCAACGAAGTCACAGGGAGAGTAGCACACTCAATTATCAAGACTTCTTCTGAGCCACAGAGGGAGCACACTTCTGTTCACGCATTTAAACTTTGTGTTTCTATTTGGTGCTTTTATGGCAGGTTGCATCTAATGTGTTTAAAAGAAACCGTTTCCTCATTGCCATTTGATGAAGTGTGCATCACTGGTACACGTTGCTCATGTTTTACCACCCAGGCCAACATCTGAATACATTTCTCTCTCTTTTTTCCTGCCCAGGTTTGAGAGCTTCCCTGTCCCTCGAGCAAAATGAGCTGGAGTTTCCTCACACGACTGCTGGATGAGATTTCCAATCACTCCACTTTTGTGGGCAAAGTTTGGCTCACCCTCCTCATTGTCTTTCGGATTGTGCTGACGGCAGTCGGAGGGGAGTCGATCTACTACGATGAACAGAGTAAATTTGTGTGCAACACGCAGCAACCCGGTTGTGAGAATGTGTGCTACGACGCATTCGCGCCGTTATCACACATTCGCTTCTGGGTGTTCCAGGTGATTATGATCACCACTCCCACCATCATGTACCTCGGGTTTGCTATGCACAAGATCGCCCGCATGGAGGATGATGATTACAGGCCCAGGAGCAGGAAAAGGATGCCGATTGTGAGCCGCGGTGCCAACCGCGACTACGAAGAAGCGGAGGATAATGGGGAGGAAGATCCCATGATCCTGGAAGAGATTGAGCCAGAAAAAGAAAAGGAAGTCGTGGAAAAGCCCAGCAAAAAGCATGACGGACGCCGTCGCATCAAGAGAGATGGCCTGATGAAGGTTTATGTATTCCAGCTGCTATCACGTGCCATCTTCGAGGCCTCCTTCCTGTTTGGACAGTACATCCTTTATGGGCTGGAGGTGGCGCCGTCATATGTATGCACACGGTCTCCTTGTCCGCACACGGTGGATTGCTTCGTCTCACGTCCGACAGAGAAAACAATCTTCCTGCTCATCATGTATGCCGTCAGCGCCTTGTGTCTGCTGTTTACCGTGTTGGAGATCCTCCACCTCGGCATCAGCGGTATTCGTGACTGCTTTTGCACACCGCGACCTCGGCCTCCCACCCCCCGCCACCCGGCTCTGGCCAGCCAGAGGTCATCCATCTCCCGCCAGCCCTCCGCACCTCCTCCAGGCTACCACACAGCTCTGAAGAAGGACCCATCGGGCAAAATGGGTTTCAGGGACAACCTGGGAGACTCGGGTCGCGAGTCATTCGGAGACGAGGCGTCGTCGCGGGAGCTGGAGAGGCTGCGCAGGCACCTAAAACTGGCGCAGCAGCATCTGGACATGGCGTACCAGAACGAGGAGAGCAGCCCGTCACGCAGCAGCAGCCCGGAGTCCAACGGCACGGCGGTGGAGCAGAACAGACTAAACTTTGCCCAGGAGAAGCAGAGCAGCACCTGCGAGAAAGGTGAGGTGTCTTTTCACAACTGTGCTGCTGCTTCAGTGGTTAGCTGTGATCAAAACAAAACTCTTCACTGACACCGACAAAATGTGTTCGCAGGTCTCCGTGCGTAGGTTCTCGTCGACTGATCGGCTCACAGGAGGAGCAATGAGAGGACAGAAGGGAACTGAACAGGGAGTGTGTATGCGTGAGTGTTGACATTATGCTTGAGGTGGATGAAGTCAGCCCAGGCCTTCCAGTGTTATGGCCAGCTGTGGTCAAGCATCAAGTCAAAGGAGTCTCAACTCAGCAATTATGAGACACCAGCCTGTTTGAAGATCCAAAGTGCTAACAAACTGCCATCGTGCAACAAGAACGGTTAAGGTTAACATGTACTTCTCCCTCAGGGCAGCTATTTGTTTTTTTTATATATATTTTTATTATGAGACTTAGAGCTATTAGTCATTTTATGTTCTTTGTTGAAAGTTCAGTGAGAAAATCTCAAGTTTGCCTTAGACTTAAACTGGAACTCCATTTTATGGCATTTTGTTAAGGTAAGGCCAAGCCAGTTGTGCAAAAAAAAAGAAAGAAAAAAAAGTTTAAACTGTAAGAATTTTGTGAGGAGTGAGTGTTTGTAGATGCAAACGAAAGCTTCATGGACAAGGCGCCACTCAGAAGAAGAAGAAGATAGGTACTGGAGTTGTTGTCATGCTGGTGGAGAATTTGCGAGGTGTCAATTTTCAAACAAAGGTTTCTTTCGAGTGTGTTACACTTCTTTTTTTTTTTTGTTTTTTTGTCAATGTTGGCAATGCACCAGTCAACATTCCTGAGTCTGGTGCCTGGATGGTAACTGGAACACACTTGGGGTGCCTTTGTCCAAAGGAACAAACAAACCTGGGTAATGCTTGAAAAACATGTAACTCTTGATATTGTCTTGTATTGTTTTAAACATTTGATACTGTTCTTTATTTTTGTATTAGTTTTAAGTAAGTATTGTGGTATTGGCAACAGGCTTTTGTCACTGTGGCAAACACCTTTTTTTTTTTTTTCCTTTTAATTCACTACTGTCTTCGCTTCCTGAACCAGATTCTCAGTGAACTTGGTGTTTTCTTTAAAAGGTTTTATACAGTCTGAGCTCAAACACAACAACATTTCAATAATCACATTCTTTTATCAGTCTGTAGCTCTTTATGTTAGATACAAGTTGTGTCTTTTTTCAAAACGGACCCTGTTTTAATTGTTTGTCGGTTAAATAAGGGACAGTACTGTATGTCATATTCTGTATTTGAAAGTGCTGGTTTCTGGATGTTATCACTGTTCCATAATCTGAATGACAGTTTTAAACAGATGTAATCATTTCAATGTGAATTCAATGCCTTGAATGGGCTCTAATAAGACGCCATCTTTTGTATTCTGACTCATACCCACAGTGCCAACTCAAATATTGTCATCTCAAGTTATTTTTGACCAATGCTTTTTGTACTTTTTATACTTTTTTGTATTGATAGTACTTTGTGGTTAGTTTTTGAAATAAATTTTTACAACAAATTCAGCTTTTCAAGCGGCCTGCGTCTGGTTTTATAATGTCACTGACGGTTCAGTCCAATCACAAATTAATATTCTGTTATCGAGGCAAAGTCAGCCAATTGCTTATGTGAGACTGTTTCTGTATTTGGTGACACACTACACTGTGAAGGTCCTGATTTGGATTCATTTGGAGCGCTCTTCAAATAGATTCCTAACATACAGAATTGGCTTTCAAATACTGTTGCATCCCGCAAGCCTTTGAAGGGGTTGTTGTGTCCAAGTTCAACCTGAATAAACTCAGGTTCAGAAAAACTGCAGTTAAACCTGACATGATCTGTCCAGTGATTTGGATAAGGACACACACTGGTGTATCTTATGTTGGCTAATTTATCTGCTCTGCTGGATTCCACGAGGAGATAAATTCTGACTTTGACTAAGAATAATAGACAGGATAGAGTTGCATTTTCCACCTTTTGATGAGGAAAATTGTAATTAAGCTCTTAAAACTCCAACTTAGCAGTTAAGTTCCTGCTAACCCTGACTTTTAAGCAGAGAACTGGATCTAACACAAGCATCCATTTATATCATTAATGACTCCCCCTGGATTTTTCCCCCCTCTAAATATGACCATATGGTGTTTGTATATCCAGTCTTGGAAGACACAGCGACACTGTATATCTTCATAAATGAACCTATCACATGGTTTAATATACTGGGATGTATTAGGCTTGATTCTCGTGCATGTCTTCACTTAAATGCCTTAAAAACGATCTTAATTTTCATGTTAGACCTCTTGGAAGAAACAAACAGTGACTGCCATAACTGAATATATATATAACCATGACAATGCAGTGTACTGATGACAGTGACAAAAACACAGATTCACACCCAGGGGGCTTCTTACAAAACAAACCTGAGGAGCCGATCCCGTCAACTTGCAGGGTAGGATCTTTACATATCAGAATCGGTTTCCAGCTTGAACATGCATGACTGAACTACTCCAGTATTACAGGGATGAGGACTCCACAGAGCTGCACAATCTAAGGAGGCACTGCTGTAGTCACATCTAAGCCATTTTTATTATTTGTTTTCTCGCAGTATAATTTATAATGAAAGATGAAGGTCCGGATCTTTTCCTTAAGTCGACTTTCACAAGGTTCAGTTTTCTCCTACAGTGACCTCTAGTGGCACTAGGTGATTCATACAGAACTTAGCAAAAGCATCTCCATCTATCAGCAGCTCCAGTTTCAACAAGAGCCTCTGAGGACAAATAAGACAATTCAAGAGATCACAGGTTTAAATCCATCTTTATATGAACTAACTCCCCACCCCGAGAAACTGCTTATTACAGAAAATACAAGGTATTGTTAAATAACACAACAAATGTTGGACTTTATCGTTCACAAGCCAGTATAAAATCTATGGAGCAATATGTCTTGTTTCACAATATATTACAGATGATCAGTATTTTTTATATCATACAGTAATGGACTTAATTTTCTTTGACTTCAACAATAAGCAGAACTAACAACAAGCAGATCTTGTGGGATATACAGTGGCTGTCATTAACAGTCATGAATCAAATCAAATAAATCATATCATATACTTGAATATTAAATCCCAAACGGAGCCTCAAGAACAGCACTAACATACAGCAATGAAAGAAATGTTAAATATATCTGTTGAACGAATTATTTCATTTAGGATTTGAAGTGTTTATGTTGAGGACTTCCACTACACCTCAGTGTTCAACATTAACATTTTTCTTGGACTTTCTTTTTTTCCTAAAGATGCAAAATGAAAGTGAACAAATGAGTCCAAACAGTACAACAATAAGTAGAGCAAACGTGGTGTTCAGTCCGGTCTCAGCATCAGTGACAGAGAGCTTCATTCCCAGGAACTGCACAGGCTTGTCAACGTCCGGCGTCACCGCTGCAGAGAAGACACAAAGACACAAAGTTGTTCTGTTAAGCATGAAACTATGGTATGAGACAGTTAAGTCAGGATTAAAAACAAGAGAAAACAGTTAACCTGGTTTGAACAAGAATCTAAGGGCAAGTTTCACAGAAGCATTTCACACTCCAGTGTTGGACCAGTCTATTGTGTGCTCCTAAATTAGTCTAATGAATCGTTTCACCAAAAAAAGAACACTAACTTACTTTAGGCTCAGAAAGCTATACCCCCAGGCTAAGACCAATGTTTATGGTAACACTTAGTGATACCAGCTGATAAAAAGGGGCACACATCTGTGATTTGCTGATAGTTCAGTTTTTAAAAATTCTTTGCTGTTTTCCCTCTACAATATCCTGTTAAAGATTGTGTTAAAATAATAGAACTGTTCATCAGTGTGAATAGGATCGCCATGGTTTTTGATTATTCCCCAGAATTCAGAGCAAATTAGCAATACTTTACACAGGCAAGGGTTAAACCAGGGGTCTCGATCGCCGGTCCTCGAGGGCCGCAATCCTGCATGTTTTAGATGTTTCCTTCTTCCAACACACCTGATTCAAATGGTCAGGATCGTTATCCGGCTTCTGCAGAGCTTGATGATGAGCTGATCATTTGAATCAGGTGTGTTGGAAGAAGGAAACATCTAAAACTTGCAGGATTGCGGCCCTCGAGGACCGGAGTTCGAGACCCCTGGGTTAAACAGTGTTGTGGCCATGAAATAGTCTTTGAGGTCAAACCTCAAAGTGCAACAAGTGGTTTGTATATTTATGTATGTATGCAATAAGTGAGGTTTTTAGGTACTTTTAGAAGTTCTTCCTTTTTCTTTTTGTGCTGTTGAACACATCACTTGGCAGTTCATTAGTCAGAACAGGTGTTTCAGCAACTCTGTGTTAACATACCTTCGGGCAAGCAGTCATTGGGTCCTAAAGCAGGGTCAGGGAATCCGTTGCAGCTTATGATCGTGGAGTAGAGGTTCACAGAGTTCTTTGCCACTCGTGGAAGTTTCGGGTCTGAACGATTGACGTAAAAAAGGCCAAATCTCTCTGAAAAGCCAGTGGCCCACTCCAGGTTGTCCATCAGTGACCAAGCCGTGTAACCTCGGACATCCACATCGTCTAGCAAGTAGGCTTTAATAGAGAAAACAAACACCTTCAGCACAGACACACTGTCATTGTGCTTAGAATCCAGTTTGAGCATGTGAGCATTTTGGAAAAAGACCTGTAAACTATTTTACTGCACTTTTTCAAAATCTCTGTTCTGGTCTTAAATACATTCCATGAAAGTGCTTGGATACCTTTCAACGCCTGGTTGATGTATTTTTCATAGTAGTAGCTCCTCGGAGTATCGTTCAGGTCAACGGGCCCTCGCTCTGAGATGCCATTCTCAGTGATGATGATTGGTGGATTTCCATACTCCTCCTTAATGAAGTTCAGTATTCTGCGGAATCCGAATGGTGAGATCTTCAGCCAGCCTGAACCTGAATCCAGGTAGGTGCGATCAGCAATTGTCCCTGCACCCCTGTGAAGGTAAAATATGTTAGATTTTAGAGTTCAAATGAAGTACACAAGACAGACAATCATATACATTTAACTGTGCTAATTGTATTGGCTTATTTCAGCTGCTCGAAAAGAAAATTAGAAAGATTTTTTTTTCTTCTTATGCTTACCTGTCTGCATCATAGTGCTGAAGGTCTCCGTATTCCACAGGGAAAGCAAGGACAGTGGTGTAATGGTTGAATCCAAAATAATCATAGGTGCCTTTAATCCTCTTAACTTCCTCTGGAGTGAACTCAGGCAGTCTGGAGAAATTGAACAGAAACGGACTGACGTGCAAAGCAGCAATTTTTTGTGTATAAATGTAGCAAACTAATAATAAACTCTGGTAATCACATGTACTCCTAGTTTGATTTTATAGGAAACTGTACAGTAGACACTAGCTCAGAAAGTCAGAAAAGGCCTATAGAAAGTATTGCTTTGGAAGTTTTTCCTTGTTATTGCTGTTAAACATTGAATCATGGTTAATTTAATTTGGCTTTCTTGACAAGAATTTATTTTTTGTTTTAAAGTCGCTTTCATGGTTAAAGGAAAAAACATTTATACAGAAAATGTCCAATAATTTAAAATATACAATGTAAAAAAGATTTTCTCTGTTTTTGTCAATTCTTGTTGAAAAAGTCAAATTAAAATGGCTACGATTCAGTGTTGAAAGCAATAAAGGGGAAAACTTCCAAGATGGGTGAACACTTTTTATAGGCACTGAAAAGAAGTGATTTTTTAGTGATGCTATCTTATTTTCAGGCGTTCAAGCTTTGTTTTTTGTTTTTTTTATAATACCGAGATTTTGGCAGACCAGCAGCTAGGCTTCGCTCACGAATGATTGTCTTCATCACATCGCTGTAGTCTCCATTAAAAACAGGATGGGCAAACCAGCCAATGTAGAACTGCACAAATACAGACATAACAGCTATTAGAAACTATCACCACACAATTCTAATTGTAAAATATGAAAGGGACTGGTGTACCTGTATCACACGTCTTGCAGCATCAATATCCTCCTGCTTATAGGGATTTCTGGGTTCTGACCAGTCGGAGTTGATGGTAATAGAGATAATGCCTTTTTGGTTGGCCCGGTACTTCTCATTGTAGAGGTGCCATGCCTCAGCATGAGCTTTAAGCAGGTTGTGACCAACAATGTAGGGCAGAGTGCCTGGTCGGAAACTGATTCCTGCAAACACACATGAAGTAATAACAACATTTGCTACCGATACGCTGTACGCTGTTTGTCATTGTGCTTTCGGAAAGATTAATGTTTGGTTTAGGATTGGTTTGCAGTTTTAGTTTCTTTAACAACTAAAACGTTCCCAATACGAGCGCTTAAGTGTTTTTGTTAATTCCACTTAAAATCAGATTTTCAAACTGAACACAAAACCAACCATAGTTTGGGTGATGTAGAGTATCAGATGCAGAACATTACTTCAAACATACCTGGGGCAGCTACTCCATAGCCATGGCCTACGTTGGCTATGTTGTATGGCTCATTAATGGTAATCCAAAATTTCACTTTGTGGCCAAGACGGCTAAAGATGAAGTCAGCGTACTCTGTGAATTTGACAATAATAGTTTCATTCTCCCATCCCCCGATTTTCTGCAGGGCTTGTGGAAGGTCCCAGTGGTACAGAGTAATCTGACGGCAAAGGAAAAACAGTTTACAAAACAATTTACCAACTTTCCATTGCATTTTGAGATGCTGAAAATACACATACATGGGGCTGAATATTTGCAGCGAGAAGTGCATCCACTAGTCTGTGGTAGTAGTTGAGTCCAGCCTCATTAATGTTATTGGTGGTACCATCAGGAAGCACCCTCGACCAGGATATGGAGAAACGATAATGGGTCACCTTAAGTTGCCTTAACATAGCAACATCCTCTTCTACTTTATTGTAGCTGTCGCAGGCTATGTCTCCATTGTCACTATCAGAAACTCGGACAGGTGTGTGAGCAAACTTGTCCCAAATACTGAGACCTTTTCCATCTGACCTCCAGCCCCCTTCAATCTGAAAAAAAAAAAAAACATTTACAAAACAAAAACAACTTAAATAGATAAAAGCAGAGCAGTACATGTGTAAATACTTGGTTCAGAATCAATGAATAGGCTTCATCTAAACACATACCTGGTATGATGCCGTTGCGGTACTCCAAAGGAAATCTTTTCGGAAATGCCCGTAAAGCATCTTTTCATCATCTGGCATGGGAAAACCATTATCCTTTATGACTTGGTAGTAGAAATGAGCTGAATACTTTGGTGTTCTTGGCCGGTTTGGGTTACTGAAGTCAACATGGTGGAGCCCAAATCCAACTTTGTACGCTTGTAGCCATTCAAAAGAATCCATGAGCGATGTTGCAATATAGCCATGTACCCTCACGCCATCAAGTTCGTAGGCTGTTGTTGAAACAAACACATACAAATGAATGATCAACACTAAAACCTGTCATGATAATCATAAAATGTATCTTATGAAATATGAAGATATCAGTTCACCTTTTAGAGCCTCATCAATATAGGTCTTGTAATAAAACATTCTGGCACTATCATCCCAAGTTGTGCTTGATTGTGTAGCCACTCCATTCTCAGTAATGTAAACCTGTGGATTTCCATACTCCTCCTTGATCCAGTTGAGGAGTCTTCTCAAGCCCCATGCCACAGCTCTCTGGTTTTGGATGGCTGTAGTTGGTGAATCACTTTCCTCTGTCTCTGTCAAGTCCCTGTCGCTTGCATATGAATGAGGGGAAAGCGGACCTGTAACATGACCTACGATCTTTGTAGTGTAATGATTCACACAGAACATGTCAGCAGTTCCCTTGATGTAGTTCTTTTCCTCTTCAGTGAAGGAAGGTAGTCTTGATTCTGAAAGATCTTGGAGATCACTTTTGTTTCCAACTTGCCACTTCATTGCATCAGGATAGTCACCATTCTTGAAAATGGGGTGTGCAAACCAGCCCAGTTGGAACTGCAGTGCGCGGTCAGCAGCCACCACTTCACGGAGAACATTGACATCTTTAGGTTCAACCCAGTCAGCATTGAGGGCAATAGATACAAGACCGCCTTGGGATGTACGATACTTGTCATCATATGTATGGTAAGCCTTGGCATGAGCTCTGATCAGGTTGTGTGCAACTAAGTATGGTGCAGTTCCTGGATTCTTAACATTTGGAGGGATCTGTCCAAGCCCATATCCTAACCATGCAATTGAGTGAGGCTGGTTGATGGTCATCCACAATTTCACTCTGTCACCAAAGGTGGCAAAGCAGAAGTCACAATAGTCATTAAAAATGTCAATCATGGTTTCATTTTCCCAGCCACCGAGGTTTTGCAAAGCTTGAGGGAGGTCCCAATGGTAAAGTGTCACCATGGGAGTGATTTTATTTGCTATCAGGCTATTAATGAGTCTATTGTAATAGTCAACACCTTTCTGGTTCAGGGAGGAAGGAGTACCATCAGGAAAGATCCTGGACCAGGACAAAGAGAATCTGTATGACTTCACCCTCAGAGCTCTCAGCATGTAGATGTCTTCATCAAGTCTGTTGTAGCTGTCACAGGCTACATCTCCAGTAGGAGTATTGCCAGGTGTCTGAGTGAATGTATCCCAGACACTGGGCCCCTTTCCATCAGCATTCCAGCCTCCTTCAATCTGGTAAGCTGAAGATGAAACTCCCCAGCTGAA